TTTCCTAATAATAATTATGCATCCTCAGCTCGGCTCTCGCTCATTATTGTTAGATAGCTGAGCTTCCGGCTGCCGGCTATATAGTTACGTAGCATCCCCGAAATTTCAAGCAAGCTGCTTAGTATCTACATGTACGTACTCGATCGATCTAGCTACGTACCTGAGTGTATATATGCTTGCTAGCTACTCGTAAGTACTCCGTAATTAATTATCTGTGTATGAGGCGCCGGGCGGGCGTTCGATATATGGACCTGGACACAAAAACGTCCATGTCCATCCCCATCGATCTCCTGATCGATCGAGTGCCGCCGCCATGGCCATGGTTGTGAATTAAGGAAGCTTCCGCTCCGCTTGCTCCTCCTTTCCGATCCCATCCCCTTTCCCATCCACCAGCCGGCCGGGACCCATTCATTTGCATGCATATATTGTCTCACTTCAGCCTAAAATATATAATATGCACTTATATTAATTAATAAATTGCATTAATTTCTACATCGCAAATTAATTACATTGGAGTATATATATATATATATATATATATATGCTCCTACTACATCCCCAGTTTTCCAATTAAATATTCCACAGTCACACCAGACTTAACCGTCTGTACCTACCTTGCTAATCGATTGATATATATGGCCCTAAAATACAACGTCGAATCTTTTCTGTAATACTATGTGTACAAAAATCCACCAATGCTGTCATATTATAAAGATCTTTTTTTAAAAAAAAACTAATTTACACACATCGTTTTCATACATCAAATTAAATATTTTAATCTTAGAAAAATCTAGATGATTGAAAATATAAGCATGCTTAAAATTAAGTTCTTTTAGGACAATATTTTTCTAGTACTAAGTAGAGGAGAAGAAAATCTCACTCATTGGTCCACTGTTTTTGTACTATCTGCTTAAGAAATTACATTAATTTCTTTATCACAAATTTTATCTTATATATATGCTCCTACCATATAGAAGTACTATATAATCAACCACTTCACCATTTTTCCAATTAAATATTCCACACTCACACCATACTCCCTCGTGTCCAGATTTATTATCCTATGTGGTGTCAAATCCTCACCTAAATTGGTTTTTTAAGGGCCCTTTTGATTTAGAGAAAATATAGGAATTTTGGAGAATTCTAATCCTATAGAAAATTTTCCTATGAAGCTCTTTAAAACAAAGGATTGAATCATATTCTATCCTTTAAAATTTCTATGGAATGGACAATCCTATAGAGATTTTGGAGAAAATTTAGCAATAGCTCCAACCTCTTGGAAACTTTTCTTTGAGTTGATCTATCTCTCTCATCCGATTCCTGTGTTTTTTCTGCAGTTCAATCAAAGGGTCATTGCTGTGTTTTTCCTACGTTTTGCAGTATTATGTTTTGCCCTTAGGATGGATGGAGTCTCTTAACAGTATCTACCTACACACTCCATCCTAGAATAAGTTTATTTTTAGCTCTTTATATTTATGCTAAAATAAGTTAATTTTTAGTAATTATTACATTAGAGTTTGTGAAAACATGGTACGAATGTAGGGAGTAGATAAATAGAAAATAATTTTAGTGATATTTGATAAAAAAAAAGAGGTATTTTAGCTTTTTTTTTTACTTTGTATTGGTACGTGTAAGGTGAGTGAAAAGTAAATCTATTTTAAAACAGATAGAGTAGCTAATAAGTGAATCCAGGTAAACCTAGCTAAACAGCTAAACATGTGTATATGTGTGTGTCTATGTCAACGTTACTTTCAAGCACAACATCGACGTCGACAGCAGAGAATTAGAAGAAATTTTGAAACACACTGACACATGGATAACTGCATATTTAGATTTCAATTCACAGTTTCAAAATTGTTTATATACCATCAAAAGTTCACAATTTTGGTTTTATAACACCGAAAGTTACCGGTTCACTTTAATAGCACCCAAAGTTCACCATGTTCCCATTTTTAGCACTTCCGTCAATTTTTCCGTCCGTCTTGATCGTTATTGATCCAGCCACATACACGATATGACATTTCTACCCCTCATTGACATGCATTATACTTGTACTTGTGAGGGGTAGAAACGTCATATCGTGTGTGGCTGGATCAATAACGATCAAGACGGACGGAAAACGATCGAGAATTGTCGGAAGTGTTAAAAATAGAAACATGGTGAACTTTGGGTGCTATTAAAGTGAACCGGTAACTTTCGGTACTATAAAACCAAAAACGTGAACTTTCGATGCTATATAACCAAAAACGTGAACTTTCGGTACTATAAAACCAAAAACGTGAACTTTCGATGCTATATAACCAATTTTGCCATAATATAAACTTGTAAATTTTTTTTCTTTTATCTCTTATAATGTCCGTTGCAACGCACGAAATTTTAGCTAGTATTGTCAACCTCGATACCCCAACCCATCAATATATATGTTGTAAAACAATCTTCTAACCTTTGCTAGCCTGGACTTTCAACCTCAATGCTTGCACCAACCAATCTATTGTCAAATGGCCTTACTAACTAAGATTGTTTGACCCTAAACCAAGCTAGCCTACCTTTTCAACCTTGATACTTGGCGCTGCCCTCGCTCCCCATAGCTTTGGCCACACCTACCTTACTTTCGTTGTAAAGGTGTGGCCCTCCACTGTAGTTGGATAGTTGAGCTATAGGAATGCTTTCTTGGTCGTTCCTCCTCGTAGTACAATTTATCCAATCTTTTCTCAACCCATGGATATCATTTACAGTATGTTATACTCTAACTCATAATTAAATCAATGGTTTAGACCGCTTCAATGAGTGTTGATAATACTAGTGGTGGAATATTACCGGTAGAGACCGCCGTAAAAGTACTCTACCCTAGAAAAAGCATTTACCAAAATAACGGGAAAACAATCTTTTTCAATAAAATTAAGGGCGTCATGCACGCATTGGAAGTTGAAACTCAACTTCAAAATTTTATAGGCCCAAGCTGAATTTCAATTTCAAAAGTCAATACCACAATACATAGAGGACCTTTTTCAAGTAACTGAACGGTGGCTTGAATGGAATCCTACATATCTATAAAGTTTATCTCCACTAATAAGTGTAGTTATAATGTTATTTCTCTCTTCTCTCATTAAACTACGTCATCTGAATTGTTGCTTACCCTTGGTGAGTGATATATGGTCCAAGTTATCTTCCTTTTTTTATCTTCTCTTATAAAGTCATGCTATCACCTTAGTTTTGTCATTGGATAATTAATCTATATTACATTTTTTTTCTTTTCCATTTCTCATTGAGTGATGTTGCCTTAATTTTGTTTTTGAACGATAAATACATATATGATTTAAATTGTTATAAACCATATCATCATCCTAATTGAGCGTTTTCTTCTGACTTATACGAGAATGAGAGCAAGATAATATATTATAGACGTTATATTAGTAGCAAGCATATATATATATATATATATATATATATATATATATATATATATATATATATATATATATATATATATATATATATATATATATATATATATATTGATGACAATTAATTAAGGATTAATTAATACTATTCGATATCACAAGGATTATGTACCCGGCTGTGCATAGGCGCGCGGGAAGCAGCATTCCTCGATCCTTCCTCCTGTGAATTGATTTAACTAGAAGTTTATCTAGTTATTATTATCAATATATATTAACTGCATTTGTAGGTACATGAACAATGAATTGATATCGTGCAGGGACAGTCGAGACAGACTTGGTCATATATGGATATCGCGCAGGAGGTTGTATTTAGGAGTAGCGGTAGCAGGCATCATCAGTGATGCATGCATTGCACCTGCCTCCTCTCATCCTGAGGTTAACTAACTTTTGTTTCTCCTGCTGCCTTCCTGGAAGCAACATATAAAGTCACATATTTTTTGGATCAGCTACTACTTTATGTGTGAACATATATAAACACAATTATCCCTCTCCTTTCTTTAAGAAATTAATTAATATAGAAGCTGGATTATTCAGACATATCGGTTGCGCAATGCACATTAATTTTTTTTTTTTTTTCAAATAAATAGCTAGGAGTATATATGTACGATATGTATATACGCTAATATGATTGTTTGTTGTGGTAATTAAAAGCTAGATATGCTCTCTCCGTTTTAAAATATAGCAATCTAGAATCGGATGATAGTATACTAACTACAAATTTGAATAGGGGTTTAATTAGATTCGTAGTTTTAGAATACGTCCAATCCAATTCTAAATTGTTATATCCCAAGATTGAGGGAGTATTAATTAGCAAAGATGAACCATTGCTAATAATGGACATCCTCCCTCCCCTATTGGATAATTATTATAAGAGATTGAAGGGTCCAAAATTTATAGGTAATGATACAAGTAATGATGTTTATTGACCCCCTGAACCTTGAATCTATTTTAGGAAATACAGAAGTTATCATAGGGCTTGTTGTTTTGAAAATAATGGAAGATTGCAATATAGTTTTTTTGGGTTTTCAAACGGTATGGTATTGTAAAAAGCTTTTTTATGTACGAAACTATTTTTAAATCTATTTGTTTTACTTTATTACCGAAAATAATTTGTATCCTGAAAATCATTGATGAGAAAAAGAAACCATCACTGACTACTCCAGAGAAGAAGAAGTTTGAGGTGGGTGCAGAGGATGAAGGACGTAAGGGTGGATTGTCGTATGTCGCCGCCCTACGTCAGCGAAGAGTGGGGTGGGTCCCACACTCACGTGCCCCTGGCTTCCTTCCTTCCTTCCTTCCATGCTTGCTTGCCTGCCTTATCTGCGTCTTGAATTGCATCCATCCCCTCCCAACCCCAAGGCCTCTAGTACTGCCTCTGCCTGGATGGCTGGAGGTGGGTCCCACCGTAGACTAGTCAATCCATCCATCCATCCGCCCACAGTAGAAGTGAGTACTAGCATTGTTTATTATTTATTTTTGGAAAGATAGCATCGCGCCGCGCCTATAAAAAGCGCGCGATGCCACATGACCGCATTCAAAGTTTCGGCTCCTCTGTTTCCTTTCCTACTACAGTAGAGTAGCTCCATTTCCATTTGAGTTTTGATTTTTGAGGATATATGATGCAGCCACCGTACACGTACAGCAACAGCTACCACCATATCCATAGCAGCTTGCCGCCGGAGATGAGCGACCGCGACGTCGACATGCACATCCTCACCGCTCTCATGGCCGACATGGCCGATTCGTCATCCTCCTCCTCCTCCTCCTCATCATCATCATCATCCGACGACTCCGACATGCGAGCATCAGCAGCAGCAGCTGAGCCTGAGCACCGGAGGAGCCCTGCACCGCCGCCGCCACCGAGGCAGCAGCAGTTGATCGGGGTGCGGAAGCGTCCATGGGGCAAGTTCGCCGCCGAGATCCGCGACTCCACCCGCAAGGGTGCTCGCGTGTGGCTGGGCACCTTCGACAGCCCAGAGGCCGCCGCCATGGCCTACGACCAGGCCGCCTTCTCCGTCCGGGGCGCCTCCGCCGTCCTCAACTTCCCCCTCCACCGCGTCCAGGAGTCGCTCCAGGCACTCGCCCTCGGCGCCGCCGGAGGATCGCCGGTACTCGCCCTCAAGCGCCGCCACTCCATCCGCAAGCGCCGCAAGCCTACCAAGCACATGCTGCTCATGCAACAACAACAACAAGAGCCGACGGTGGTGGAGCTGGAGGACCTCGGTGCCGACTACCTGGAGGAGCTCCTCCGCCTATCCGAGTCCTCCTCCTCCTCCTCTTCTTCCTCCATCTCCAACTTCACCACTACACCAAATCGTCATTGCCAATCCTAGCTACTCACGATCGATCAACTTGTCTTCTTGTTGTTGTTGTTGTTGTTTACTCGCGCGATCGATCTAGCTTCTCATGTTCAGTAATCAGTAGAGGATTATATATATGTTTTTTCTTACCATTAGATAGAGGAGTAGATAGATGGATGGGCAGACAAAATCAAGCTCCACGCCATGCATATATACTCTTATATATATATATATATATATTTAAATATATATATATATATATCCATCCATCACTTGGAGATCCATCAAGCATATCGATACCAGTGCATGGATGGTTGTTTAATTTTTGTTCAAATTAAGGTTTTCAGATATCTAATACCCGCCCCCATGCATGGAACCAACAAGTTGTATATATGCTTGCTTTATATATATTGCCACTGATTAGTGATTAATCTCAGTGGTCGGAGGCAGATTCTTATGTCTTACTACATACGTTTCACTGGACTTATATATATTTATGTTGCGCTAATGCACACGTACGTGAAATTATGTTGGGCTTTTTCTTGCAATTAATCAAACGATCGATCGACCAAAATCGATACTATATACGTACGGCAAGGCAATCACACCGGCGGCCGCAAATTAGCAAAGGCAAAACCTCCAAAGCAAGCTAGGCGGCGGAGAAAAATCGATCATATCCAAGATTTCATACACATTGACGCCCCAGTACGTAACATTCGCACGCACGCACGCGTGTGCAATGTTTGTGGAAAAACTACCACTACTAATTACTCCCTCATTCCCTAAATATTTGACGCCGTTAACTTTTTTAAACATGTTTGACCGTTCGTCTTATTCAAAAACTTTTGTGAAATGTGTAAAACTATATGTATAAATAAAAGTATATTTAACAATAAATCAAATGATAGGAAAAGAATTAACAATTACTTAAATTTTTTGAATAAGACGAACGGTCAAATATTTTTAAAAAAGTCAACGGCGTCGAACATTTTGGGATGGAGGTAGTGTGTGTGTGTATATATATATATATATATATATATATAATCTTTCGTGTATACTATATTATTGTTATTCACGCACGGTTGCAGGCAGGCAGGAGGACGCAGTCTGGTCAGCGCGCCGCTTAATTGGTCCATTCATGGCCGGGTCAGCACAGGCTAACTAGAGTAGTATATATATACAACAAATTAAGATTTATATAAAATAATAGTAATGCCCCCCACCTCCCCGGCCCATGTGTTTTCAGCCTCTGTACGTTTGACTATATACACAGGATCCACATATATGCATGATGCACGATAACCATGCGCTGCACAAAAGCCAATTTCAAATCATCACTTCAACGCTGTATGCTGTGCTGTTGTGTTGCATTCCTGACACAGTTAACTTTTAATATAACTAGGAAGTTAGCCCGTGCATTTGCGCGGGTAAGTTTTTTTTAATAGAACACATCAGGTGACGTCTATGTTGTTCATCGGCATTTTGCTTTGATAATTTTAGCAAGATATTTTTTTGGTTTTAAAATATATAATATTTAATACATATGTATAAATAATTATCTATGATCTCTTTATTATATAGAAAGAAGTTCGATTCAGTTTGTTTGGAAAATGTGTCTAACAAATCAAGTGTAAATTAGAAATAAGTTGTTTTGTCATTTTTAATAGAATGTTTACTTGTTTTTTTAACAAATTCTAAAGAACTATTATTGTTAATAAATATGTTTTATTTGTACCATAAAGTAGTTCTCCTTCTAGTCGGTTTAAGTTGATGCAAGTTGTTACATACTTATTTATAAATTAATAAAGACATGTCATATACCTCGCTTCCTTGTGATTTGTGTGATCTATACTATATTTTTCAAAAGAACATACCTAGTTAGCATGAATCCAAAATTTTCAATTTAATAGTAACAAATATAACTTTTCAATGAACTATATACTGCGAACCTTTGTGCGGTTTATATGTGTAATATATAGGAAAGATGTAAGGCCATTAATGTCTAAGCATTTTAAAATTATTACAAAAATGGAACATGCGATGGTTAGTCCAATTTTAGTGAATGCAAGAACCAATTTTTTTGCGAACTTATTACGTTTTCTCTAAATAGTTCAATTGAGTCCCTATTGACATATTCTATTACTTGCTTTATTTTATATTTTATACCAGTTCAAAATATAGGCTTCATGGATCTTTAAATCTTTGGTTTAATTATAAATAGAACAATATTTAGATTAGAAATAAGATGTGTAGCTTTGAATTTATGCATGTTTTAATATTGTTTATTATTTCTCACTATATAAACAGGAATGGGTAGAGTGGAGAGCTCAAACCGAGAAGGGATGGGACGAGTAATGTCGTGTTGTGCGTATGTGTGGGGGAGGGCGAAGTAGAGGGGTGGTTTTTTCGATTTTATCTAAATGATTTAAGTGAAACCGATGAACCATTATTTTCTCACATTTTCTGTTATTTTATCTAATGTTTAAGACATAACACATCGTGGCTTACGATTTTCCTAAAAGTATATATGATGGATCTACCCATTTAAGTGGAAACTGATGGTCAGAAGGCATTTTTAGGAAATTTAATGGACTTTTAGTTTATAATGTATACATCTAATCTAATATTCTAAAATATCGATTTGGTCTGCCAATTTAAATGAAAATCAACGTTGGTATTTACGTAAATTTATAGAGTAAAATATTTTATATCTTTAAATAATAGAAAAACCTATTTTAAATATAATCAATTTTACCAAGTACGTATGGTTTTTTCTTATTGATTTTATAGTAATTCTGTGCGTGGTTTTTTTTCTTGTTTCTTCCATGTACGTACGTAACAGAGTAACGAAATAATTAGTTTCTTTAAAATAAAATACATCTAATATAATGACCTACCTAAAATGTCGGGTCCACCAATTTAAGTGAAAATATAATCTAATGGTCTAAAATATTGGATCCACCAATTTAAGTGAAAATCGACGGTCAGATTAGATAGAGCCATGTGGCGGCCTAGGAGCGTTTGTACTAGTCTCACGTGGCGGCTTGAGAGCGTTTGTAGGAAGTTTAATGGACTTGTAGTATATAATAGATGATTAACAATTCATCGTATTAAAATATATATACACCATCCTTTCCAAAATAAATTTATTTAATTTTTTTTATGATCCATATTTTTTATTGTTATTGAATGATAAAACATAAATAGTAATTTATGTGTGCCTTATTTTCTTTTTAGTTTTTTCATAATTTTGTAAATAAGACGAACGGTCAAACACTATATACAAAAACCGACAAATAAACTTAATTTGGGACGGAGGGTGCATTCCACTCCACTCCATACATGCATGGATGAGTAATGGTATAGTAGCAGTTGATCAAAATATCTAGTACTCCAGTATCTAAGAGGAAGGATAATAGTAAAGCTCAGATCATACTATTAGCCCATCTTAAAACCAACATATATAATAGATTAGTTATAAAGTTGGCTACATTTTTCTTCTTATCTCTCTATCTCTTACTTATACATTTAATGTATTAGTCTTAGGCCCTGTTTCTTTCAATTTGGGATTATTATAATCTAGATTATTGAGTCAGATTAATATAAGCTAGATTGTTATAATCTGTAGTAGAATAAGCGGTTAGTTGTTTCTTTTCTAGATTATTAGAGCCTAGATTATTGGGTTTGCAAGTCTAAAGAGGGAGTGGGGTGGCATGGTGGGTATTTTTTCACCCAATAATCTAAAAAAAGCTCACATAAATGAGCTTATCAGATTATAATAAGCTAGGCTCCAGATTATAATAAGCTACTTTAATAAGTTGTCTGTTTCTTTCAGCTTACTCTCAATAATCTAGATTATAATAATCCCAAGCTGAAAGAAACAGAGCCTTACAGCTTGTATTAAGCTTATAGTAAGTTTATAGCTCACTGTTATCCTTCTATAAGGCTACCTAGCTACCTGCAACTGTTGTATGCTGTCTCCATCGCCCCATCGGTTACTATCTACTCCACTATATACGGTAATATCATGCCTGAGAGGAGATTTAATTAAAAGAAATATTAATTAGCTAGAGAAATATTAATTGGAGGGAATCAACGAATTGAATCGACACAACGCAATCGACTCGACTGCTCGAGTACGCAGATGGTGGAGGAACAAACCCAGATGCTTCCTTTAATTCCACTCCCAGCTGGTCAAATAAGCGATCCGTTCATCATATCGACCGTTGCCCGGCCTCTAAAATATCAATGTACTACTCCACTAGTAATTACAATTAATTCTCAAACGTACGTAGCTAGGTTGTTTCTCATTTTGGTATATATGTTCTACTCCTTACTTTTTCATCCTTTTATGCCTTTTTCACGATAAATTAACATTACTGTATGTATCACTCTTACAAGCAAGCAAACAAAAAAAATAAACAAATGGTATAACCACATTAATTATTTAATTAGTTGTTTGTTTAATTCATGTGCACGAAAACACAATATCGATATAATGTATAAATAAATAATCAGAGGGAGCATGTAGCTTCTTCAATTCCTTCCTCACGTTGACCTGATAACAGTGTACGTAGACACATCGATCATATTTTAAATTATAATTAAGTATAACGATAGATGCATTCTATAGATGCGACTTTTGAATTGACCGAACTACTACCACAGACAGAGTAATAGTAGCTACGAGCTGGGTGCATAAGGTGCAAAAAGGTCAAAATAGATCGATGCTCCTGATCCAGCGGAGCTACTAGTCATAATTCCATGCTCATTTGTTGTTTTTCATGACAAATTAACAAACAAACTTGCATGACCAGGTTGGATGTATGATTGATTGTTGTAGCGGCCGGGCTAAAACAAGGAACAGATGGCTTAAGTCAAACTTAAGAAATGGTCACTGTCAGATATGATATGGAACCAACCATTGCAAGAGGAGCTAGGTATACATGTAGCTGGTCAAATGCATATTTGTACAGAAGAAGTAGCTAGTGACTTTTGTTGTGTTTTATTCCGTGCTGGTCAGACTGAAGAGAAAAAAAAATTTTGGGCGCAGAGAAGACAAGCTTAGTATTAGCACCGCGCACGTAATAATGAATTGAATGCAGAGTTTGGTCAAAGAAAAGGTAAGTTCCTCCATCCACGTACGAATTGATGTTTGTTTGCTAGTCCTTGGTTTTTCTTGTCAGGCAGTAAATAGTGGATGAATTTGATAGGAATCATGAATGAATTAGAGGAAAGAAGAAGAGTAGTTTGGCGGGCGGAATTAGTACCGAAACGAAAGAAGGCCCAAATATTGAGTTGGGCCTTGGAAACATGAGAAGAGAAGAAGCAGCTGGGCCTCAGCGCGGGGCGAGCGAGACAGACGAGAGGTGGGCCTGCGGGCGCTGAAGCGAGTGGTCCCAAGCCCGTGAGTCGAGGTAGGCCTTGGATATCTTTCCGGCGACCCACGTCATCTCCGGCGGTGGCGAGGCGGAGGCGCACCGCAGCCCCACATCCAGCAGCCTCTCCGCCACCGCCTGCGGGAACGAGTCGCCCAGCCTCCTGTCCACCCAGCTCCTCACCCGCCCGTTGGCCCGCGCCGCCGCCGCCGTCTCAACCACCGCCTCCCGGACCCGGTACGTGGTCGCCTGCTCTCCGGACAGCAGCTCCAGCAGCAGCAGCCCGAAGGCGCGCACGTCTGCCTCCCGCGACGGCTCCTCCTCATCTTCCAATTCCGCCAACTGCGCCGCGCCCATGTGCGTGAGCCGCGCGCGGAGGCCGGGGTCGGAGACGAGCACGGTGGAGGAGGAGACGCGGCCGTGCACGGCGGCGGCATGGTGGTGGATGTAGTCGAGGCCTTGGGCGACGTCGGCGGCTACCTGGACGCGGGAGAGCCAGGTGCGGAGGGCGGTGAAGCTGGGGTTGCGAGGGCTGCGGAGGCAGGCGCTCAGCGTGGCGGCGCCCGGGGGTAACTCGTAGGCGATGTACAGGTGGGCTCCCGCGACGCAGCCGCCCAGCAGGGGGGCGAGGCTGGTATGGTGGTACCTGGCGGTGGCGGCGAGTAGCTTGCCGGTCACGGTGTCGCGTGGAGGTGGTGCGCGGCGGAGCTGGAAGAGGGCGGCGTGGCGGCCGCGCAGGGTGCAGGGCCAGTAGGTGGAGGCCGGGGCGCGCTTGGCGAGGAAGTTGTTGGTGGCGCCGGCGACCTCCTGGAACGGGTAGAGCACGGGCGGATCCGGGAGGGAGGCGCGGGCGGCGGCAAGGGAGCTTGAACTGGAAGACGCGGCGCTGGCTGTGCTACCGGAGATCGACGAAGAGGCCGGGCCCGGCCGCCGGGAAGAGGAGGAGGAGGAAGAGGTGGTGGCCGAGGAGCGGCGGGATCGGGAAGCAACGGAGGAGACGGGCACTGCGTCGGATCTGGACTTGCACATCTCAATTCCTCTTCTTCTTCCCCAATCCAATCTAATCTAATCCAATCCTCCCCAACTCCCAATTCGATCTCCGCTCCCCTGTCCTGCTGCTGCTTTTTTTTTTTGATAGCACCTACTACTCCACTCCACTACTTCCTACACTTGTTGTGCAACAGTACAGCTAATTGGATTTTATGCCTTATATATTTTATGATTTTAAAATATATCATTTCTAGTGTCATTATAATTTTATAAATATTCAAATAATACCTCTAGATACCTCTACTTTATTTTCTATTATTCTAAGACTAAATTGCTTTTCCTTTTTCCTTTATCCCCTTCTTTTTTCTTATTCTCTCTGGATAGAACATTTGGCTAGAAGATGAAACTAACAGGGTTTTCTGGCAAAACACGTGCCAATCATGATCTAGCTACATCTAGACAAGGGGAGGGCGGTGCATTGGAGACGATAGGGGTGTAGGTCGTGTTCTAACAAGCAGTGGGGGTATAAATCTATTGGATCTCGGGGGAGGGGGTAATGTATAGCTTGACGCAATTGATGCCATTTGCTTACAACACCATTGGCATTTGGTTGTCATTGACGCTGCTACAGTGCTACTGTAGATGCATTAGATGTTATGGCCAACAACACGACGACGGTGTCAAAAGCAGCCAACAGGACGTGCTGTTGTCGTCCAGTAGACCCAACGCTTCTGGCTTAGCGCTCAAGTCCACCCTCGCCGTGTCAAAGGACTCCAATGCGTCACAAAAGCCTTCATTCTGATGAGTTTGAATTCGGTCCGGTAGATATCCATATACAACGATAATGGCAGGCTGGCAGTGCTACTTGATACTTCAGGTTTAGACTTTACTATTAATAATTAAAATTGTAATAATTCTAAGTTAAAACAAATAGGGCCTTATCTGGCTAGCAATATAGTGGTACTATTTTGATTTGATTAGAGCTCCTTTTTATTTATTTGTTTTTTCTTTCTTTTACATAGCCCCGGTAGAAAGTGTGTTGGGTGAGGTTGGGCTAGGTGCGGTGCAGACGGTGTCGGGGGGTGCAGGGCAGGCGCAAAAGGAATTACGGAATTGCCCCAACCAAGGAGGAGACGGAGGGGAGGGCAAGAAGAAGAAGGACGGTGCAGAGGAAAGGAAAGGATTGGAATTCCAGGGGCGACGACATGGCCGCCGTGCAGGGGCAGGGGCAGGGGAAGCTCCTGTACATTGTGGTGGTCGACGACGATGGCGCCACCTTCCGCTACACGCGCTCCCTCCTCCACAGCACTCTGCAGCTGATGGGATGCAAGCCGCGCCATGCCTTCGAGGTGAGATAGGTTTCCCCTCCCCTCTCTTCCCATCAATCCATTCCATTTATCTTGTCGATTGAGATCCCCCCCCGCCGCAGATCAGCGGCAGGGTGTTCGACGAGATCCGAGGTCACATGGGCGGTGACATGGCCATGGGCGGCGGCGGTGGCGTGCAGCGCTACGAGCTGGCCGCCGACGCGGAAGCCGCCAGCCCCAGGCAGTTCCAGTTCGAGCTCTACAAGCGCCGCACCACCCTTCTCATCCCTCGCCCGCTCTTCCTCCGCCTCGTCTGCCACGCCCTCGCCCTCTACAAGTATGTCGCCCCCGACCAGCGCTCTGATCTCCACCGAGCCTGCAGGTCTCCCTCTCTCTCTTCTTCTATTTCTAACATTTCTTCTCTTCAGATCCCCCATGCTTCTTCTCTACTGGAGTAATACATATTCTTCTTCTTTTCTTTGGTTAGGATCCGGGAAAGGAAGGAATCAGTCACCATTCTTCTCTGCGGAACCAGCGGCTGCGGCAAGTCTACTCTTTCCACCTTGCTGGTTGGTCTCCTTCTCTCTTCCTGGGATGTTTACTTTCTTCATGCCACGGCATCCTCTCATTCGCACCAGGATAACAATCATCCTTCTAATAAATGTGTTGTTCCATGTTTTACCTATATAAGACAGACAAACAGAACAACAACTACACCCATGCCTTGCTGCTCTTGAGCAGCACAGCACAGTGTATATATGCTTTCTAAGCTGGACCTTATTCTTTCAACAGGGGAGCAGATTAGGAATCACTACTGTAGTCTCCACCGATTCCATTCGCCACATGATGCGGAGCTTTGTTGAAGAGAAACAAAATCCCCTTCTCTGGGCATCTACCTATCATGCAGGCGAATGCCTCGACCCAGTAGCGGTCGCTGATGCTAAAGCTAGGCGCAAAGCCAAAAAACGCTCAGGCATCTCAACGACCTCAACCATTGATTTTGATAAAACCAGGCCTCTCAATGACAAACCTGACGGCAAACCAATTGGGAAGAAGCAGATGGCCATAGAAGGCTACAAAGCACAAAGTGAGATGGTCATTGATAGTTTGGATCGGTTGATTACTGCCTGGGAGGATCGCAAGGAATCAGTTGTTGTTGAGGGTGTTCACCTAAGCCTTAATTTTGTGGTACGTGCTTCCTAAACTGTTACCATTATTTAGTTTCCCAAATTTATATTTTACTCTATTTATTATGCCAATAGAAATAGATACACTATACTCACTGCAAAGTGCAATGATAGGCTTCTTCATGCATTCATCTATCCTAATTTAACCTTGTTGGTTTTATCGAATCATTTTGATATTTCAGATGGGGCTAATGAGGAAACATCCTTCTATAATACCTTTTATGATCTACATATCCGATGAGGGCAAGCACACCGAGAGGTTTGCCGTACGTGCAAAGTACATGACACTTGACCCAACAAAAAATAAGTACGTCAAATACATCAGCAACATTAGAACTATCCAAGAGTACCTCTGCAGCCGAGCCGACAAGTACCTAGTTCCCAAGGTGAACAACACTAATGTTGATCGGAGTGTGGCTTCTATCCATGCCACTGTCTTTAGCTGCCTCCGTAGGAGAGCTGCTGGTGATCAGTTATATGACCCTGCTACAAACACAGTGGCAGTTGTAAACGAGGAATACAAAAACCAATGTGTGGCCAACTCCATGAGTTCCAAGGGGATGTTCAAATTGATTCAAAGGTTAGGATCCTCAAGAAAGCTCATGGCCATTGTCAATGTGGATGGATCTGTTTCAAAGGCTTGGCCGGTTGAGTCCAGCAGCGGGGATGGAAAAGGCGGTTCGGAAAATGGCAGTAAGAAATATGTAGGCGATCCAATATACGGGCCTCTAAATATTGGAAGGGCAGAGTCAGTCAATCTCCAGTTTGGCGCTTTCGGAATAAGTGCCTGGCCTACTGATGCAGGCTGTACAAGTCAAGCTGGAAGTGTCAACGAGTCATGGGACAATGCTAATGAAGGCACTGGAAGCCATGTTCCTTCTTCTTCTGGTTCTCCTAAGAAGTTGGATGGACATTGTAAAGAGGTACACATTTTTATTCCTTACATTGTCATGTGACTGTTAGTGGAGAGAGAATTACTAATACAGGAAGTACTGCCGACCTGCAATCTTATTTTTCTGCTTTATCATGTGCTTTTTTGGGGGGATTAGATTAAAGAATCAGCAGCGGCATCTGGAAGTGATGATGACGAAGAAGAAGAAGAAGAAGCGGCTGATGTTCCACCTAATTCAGGGAGTGAGGAGGACCTAAGTGAAGAAGACATAAGGGCGATCCATGAGGAGGTGAGACAATGTGGTCTGTTACATTAATCTTCATCTATGTTGGTACAGCTTACTGTTTCGTTGTGGTGACTAATATTTCTTAAATTAAAAAAACTAGAGATAAATCTTGCATTCAACTTATGTTGGTGATGATTGTTTTGCTTACCTATGATAAGTTCTGAATGCTTAGATATCAACAGGAAAGATCCATAACATGTGAAATATAAAGGCAGTTTGAGCCCATCATACATTAGGGTTTTGAACAAAAAGTGTAATATGGTGTATTAAGGTATAAAAAATAAAACCACACTAATTTGAGGATCTGAAGATGATGTTCTGAAACCTAGGTAAGAGGTGGTTATCTTCTGTTGGCTATGTTACGCTTTTATCATGATTAACAAACTGTTCGAATCCACTGTGAACATCTTTTTCTGGTAACTTGCATGATAGATGGAAGGTTCCGTCGATGAAGATTGCAATAGGTCTGATGAGGAATATGATGACCTGGCCATGCGTGATTGCATGGAGAATGGTTTTTTGACCGACGATGGTGTTGTTCACACCGTATTTGATGGCAACGGACAGAAGCACAGCACATTGAGAAAGCGTCAAGTTAATTTGCGTACCCTATCAAAGATCGACTTAGACTCTCCTGACACTGCACGCTCTTCTTCTGCTCTTCCTATTAGCGCAAGCAGCAAGCGAAATGGCACAAGGAGGTGGAAGCGGTCCTTGAGTGAATCATTTCGTTCACGGCCACGGAGTGCTCCATCTTTAGTGGAATTGACGCCAAAGCACAAGGGCTCAGCCGTTCCAGAGGTGGCTCCCGACAAGTAGAACTGCATATAACCAGGGTATATCTGCCTAACTAGTGTTTTGCAGGAGGCCTAGACTTAACAGATGAATAACCGATTTTTTTTTCTTTCTTTCTGGTCTTTAACCCTCATGCCTTTTTTTTCCTGGACTTGGAGAGGATGCAGATAAAAATTCACACAGCGTGATTCTTTTGGGAGTTATGTTTTCTGTTTGCATATGCCTAAGCTGTAAATGATGAAAATACAGTATATGTACTGTCTGAACCCTCCGAGATGTAGAGAAGTTTGAGGCAATGTGTTGTTCTTATCAATGCTGCACATCACCAATTTACCTTGACAGGCATGCAATTCTATGATCTCTGTTGTGTATTAGATCCACATCAGATTGTAGTGTACTAGATTACCAATGCTGCTAAACCGACATTCAGTTTTTTCTAGGCCCTGCTTTATCACTCTTTCGTGCTCTAGCCCTGAACTGTAGTGTACTTTTTTTTAAAAAAAAAGATAATGGAAACTTTATTGATGTTAGTCAATTCCATCAAGGTGATCCAATTGCCCTAGGAATACTTCTGTTCTCTGCGTAGTTAAGATGTACACATAAAACATACACTCATACTAAAAGAAAGAGATCATAGGGAATGTTAAGGACCATCAATCCTGAGATTAGATTGTTACGTACTTACCACTTCTCGAGTAGTATGTTTTTGGGTAAAACACTTCTCTCGAGTCTTGATCACCTTGTCTTATTTTTTTTTAACGACTCGCACAAGACGGTGCGAAGTTCTATTGATAGAGCATGAAAAAATTACAATATTACAACCATAAAGGGTCGTAACCAGGAAAAGGAAAAAAAAACCACCACCCGCATACCGACAGCGCCAACATATAACTCGGAAGAAGGCTAGCACCGGACCGACCGCCTTGTCTTTATCGTTGACCAGTCACATCCACCAGGTCCTACAAACCAGGCTTTTGAAAAATAACTCATGTATGGCTTCAGTGAGTAAAAATAACTCATGTATGGCTTCAATGAGTAAGCAAGAAAATAGTCAGCAAAGAAGAAAAGACAGTTTTTTTTAATTCAAAACCACAGGATAAGTGGTTTCATGCCATTAGGCACTCTACCCCAGCAAGCCCCCAAACATGTGTACCACACTACGTGGTGGAGGTATTTCTGACGCAGTACGTGAGATGGACCAAACAGAACGTGCAAAATGGCATTAATAGAAAAGATATCTAAAGAGCCCCTTAAAATTATAGGAATAAAAAAACAGAGGAATAAGAAAAACAGAGGAATGCAATTGTAAAACAGAAGACTGTGAAATACAGAAAAAAAAAACATAGGAATGACCGTTTGATTGGACCACAGGAAAAACATAGGAATCAGATTAGAGAGATAGACTAATGAAATTTTTCAAGGGGTCAGACCTATTGCTAGCTTTCCTCCAAAATATACATAGGATTACCCATTCTATAGGAATTTTGAAGGATTGTATATTATTCAATCCTTTGTTTCAAAGACCTTTACAGGATTTTTTTTCCATAGGATCAAAATCTTAGAAAATTTCTATATTTTTCATACAAATCAAAGGGCCCTAAGTGTTTCATCTACCCTTGAACTGTAGTGTACTATTAGATGATTAACAAAACCAAATGATAAATAATACAAAACCAAATGGTAAATAATAATAAGGCAATCTGATGTGCGGTCCTACCGGATTTACTAAACCGTGTTGGATGGGGTTACCGTCACCCCACGGTTTATTGGTTATCACAGTAATTGTGCAGTTACCATGAAAACCGTACGATTGAGGTATACCGTGGTTTCAGAAACTAGAAATATTATCATATGTGATAATTACAATAACCTACAGTTTTATAAATCTTGGGTCTATTCACTGGGTAGAAAAGAATTAGGGACATTTAATTAGGGATAATTATTTGCCACTGGCTGTCTATGATATGTGGGCCCTTATGTGTCTATGACATGTGGGTCCAGTGGCAAATAATTTAGCACCACTCGTAAGAGTGGCAAATAGTTAATTATTCCAAAGAATTAAGGGGGTGTTTGGGAGAGAGGGGCTCAAAAACATAAGTTCCTCCCCTAGGGACTTATGGTTTTGAGTTTAGCTCCTCTCTCCTAAACACCCCCCTAAACTCTTTTTTTCTTACAACACCAAAAGGGGAAGAAACAAGGAAGGAACATCTTTCTGGTCGTTTTGAAGATTTCCATATATGCTCTGCAGAGCAGGCATGAAACCAAAGCCAAATTACTTGAGCAGAGCAGCCGGAGCAAGACAGACCCAAAAGGATCTACGATGCGGAATTTTTGGGGCAGCGCAACATAGAAAAGTCAATAATTCCAGCTAATGAAAATCAAGCGAGAGCATGTTCCTGTGGCACAGATTTTCGAGTCTAAATTCTTAAATCGCGTCAAATATGTTATAGCTGTTGATGCTTTTTCGTGGCCAACACACGATCACCTAACAATTTACGGTGTAATCAACGGAGTCGTCAAAATCGATAGATCAAAATCGGCCAGTGAAACTGATTTCGAGATTAATTCACTTTCGCGGAATCAAGCGACTAATTTACAAGCAAATTAGCAAAGAGGATAAATATCGTACTTACGTGACGACGAACGACTAGTTTTCGAGCAAACTAGCAAAGGATTACCTCCTCGCTTTCGTGGAGAAGCACGACCGTTTTTCAACGCAAAACGGTAAAGATTAACCAAATCCTAGGATTGCTAGAATTCAGCCATAAAAGCAAAATAGAAAATAACGGAAAAGTAAAGAACGAGGAAAATAATAGATTGATAGATTGTTCGGGCTTCCTTTCTGCCGACGCAGGGACTGACTTTATAAGCACCACAGGCTGCATCAACGATCTCCTTTTTCTGCTATCGTTCCTTCCTATCCGGATTCCGGACTGGTATACTGCATGCAATCAATCAATGATCTTCTATAATCCACGACACCTTGTGGCCTCCTGTAGCCTATTCCTCCACAAAGGATCCGGATGCTTTCCTGCATGTAAGCTGCACACTGACCCTATGTGGACTACTACTTGCAACACACCTCTGATTACATGTCACCAAACCAGGTTAATTGCTGCAGCCACACCCAACAGTTTGCACACACGATCTCTTAGTGCATCACAAATTCCTGCACCTTCAAACTGAGTATATTTTCCAAGTAAATCATTTGACAGTTTTATCATTTTATTCTAAAACAATCCAGCCTGCACAAATGCATTAACTATAAGCCAAATTATGATGCAAACACATGCCCCCCTGTTTTCGGTATAATTAGAACTTTTATTTTACCGAAAACACTAGAAAAATTAACCACTCATGATTGACTATACTCTAAATGTGATGTTAGTCCTAAGCCAATCCACAGTCGTCCTCCCAAAACGATACTTAAATAAGTATCGATCTTGGGACCACCCATAGTCGTCCTCTCAAAACGATACTCATAAGTATTCGTCCTGAGACCACCATAGTCGTCCTCTCAAAACAATACTCAAACAAGTATCCGTCCTAAGACCATCCATAATCGTCCTCTCAAAACGATACTCAAATAAGTATTCGTTCTGAGACAATCAAACTTCCTGCTATACACTAGGATAAAATATTTTCCAGTATTTTCCACTAAGAACTTTAATCAACCTTCACCCCTCATAAAGTAAACAAACTTATTATTCCCAAAACCAATAGAAAAAATCGTTTGCCATACTAACTTACCTATTTGAAACGATTTTTCACTTATTTTTTTATAAGCCTTGACTACTCTAGTTTAATCAAGACCTACACCCTGTAAAAGCTCCTAATCTATAGATCGGCGATATAATTCATCAAAGTATATTTCACAACCCATCACCGAACTTTTCCATCTTACCTAGTCTTTACAAGTAATTACCAGAGAAACTCATAATTCATTTGATTCAAATTTTACTACTAATTCGGTCATCCCTAATGTCCACTAAACCGAATTAACCTAACCTCCAACTCGATCTGGTCATGATACTACACTATCAGTAGCTATTAACCACCAGTTACTAGCTCGGCCAGAACGACAAGACAAGCCCCTGTCTCCATTGCATTCAGCTGGCCGAACCATCATACTCCAATGACGCAGTACACTACTACTAGAACGTAGCACCAAGACCACACGCATGCACTGTGTACCCCTATCAGAACTACCAGGAGCCAGCACTACTGCATGTATTCACCTCGGTGCTAACTACTAGATAAATCGGCTTCCACTGAATTGCTACGCAAACTAACACTACTATTTAAGCCGATTTATTCAATATAATCACACCTCTACTAATCAGATAACAAGAAAACTGTTGCGTCAAGTAATTTGCTTTGCTATTTTCCTCCCTGAATATATGACGAACAGTAAAGGTATATGACAAATTAATTAAATCTAAACATCGGTCTAAATAACTATTTAGCAGTCCATAAAAATACTAAACTTCCCATTAATCAATTGAACTACTAAAAGTGAAACATCAAAAGCATATGCATCCCTCGCACCAATATTTACCAAGCTTTGCAAACCAAATAATAGAGCATCTACTCGGTCTAAAGTGCAAGGATACTCTAAACAGACTGATAGGGACCGATGTGTCATAAGCAATATTACTTAGTGAAATTAAAACAGTACCAGCTCCTTGCCAACTCACACAAACTATATACGACCGAAATAATTTCTAAAGAGTTATAAAAAAATCACGGTTATTTCTAGCACCTAAATATTTCGGTCTCTAAAAGTGATAGCAACACCTACAACTAATAGTCAATATGCAAGACTATACGGTAACATCCCTCCATAATATAAAGACACATATGATATCCAAGGATAAGAATAAAACCATGAGGGATAAGCATACATACCTGAGAATTGATTCCATGATATAGGTATCGGTGGCATAAGTAAAGAATATGAATAATGTGGTGGCGAAAGAACCTGACGATTGGATGCAAACCATTGATTTGGTGCATGCCTCCGTAACTCCCTTCTCCTCTTTTGCCTCCACTTCTCTTTTAACATCTTTTTCATTATGCACCTGAACACTTCCTTTAGGAACCCATGCCATACCTCTATCCCTCAGCTTTTCTGCACTTAGTTTGTGTAACTGCTTCTTCTGCCAATTTGATAAGCTACATGAGTGTCTCGGTTGGCTACCATTGCCCACGAAGCTCTTCGGCGGATTCTGATTTGTTACTAAATCTGCCGAAGAAGACTCTCGCTTCATACTTACATTGTGTAAATTTTCTAGTTGTTGTACACGTGCATGCCCCCCAGGTTCA